CTTGGAGGTTCATGGGTAGTTATAAGTAACCCTTAGTGACTTCCTTTTAAGGGTTCCTTAAGCGGTTTAGGGTTTAGGGTCTACTTGGAGGTTCATGGGTACTTATCAGGCTCCTTTAAGGGATCTATAAGAGGGTTCTCTATAAGAGGTCATATTTGGAGGTTGATGGGTAGTAATAAGTAAGGTTATAAGTAGGTTCCTTTACGGATTTCTATAGGGTTTAGGGTTCATGGGTAGTTATAACTAGGGTTATAAGTAGGGTAACTATAATTATAACCCTATTAGGGGACTTATAACCCCGCTTATAACTACCCATGAACCTCCACATAGGGTTTAGGGTTTGGGGTTAGGGTTGGCTTAGTCTAAGGCTCTAGCTCTGGCAGGGATTTAAGAAAGCTTTCAGGCTTACTCTAATCTAAGGCTCTAAAGGGCGTAGTATAGTATGGTGGGGGTCTAAGATACCGGCCTTGGTAACAAGAAATAAGGTTTGAGGTAGTATCATATACCAGAATTCCAATTCGCGTGGCTTTTTTCAGCTGCAGAGCAGAGACAGCTTAGCGTCCAACTGGCGCAGATGCTTTACCCCAGAGGTAGCCCTTAGAAACCTCCGCATGGCACCCTTGGGTTGGGGTCGGGTAAGCTACGACTTCGGCAATAGCCTAGTGACTCGGAACCCGGAACTACGGTCTTGGCGCTGTGACGTCAGAGCGATCAGTTTTGCAGCGACCGAACTCCGCAAGATTTGCAGCTTCTGCCCTCAGCTCCACTTCGCCCTTCCCCGCCTGTAGGATGGAAAGGAGCTCGGAGTTCGATGCGAAAGTGGAGTAGGTCACCTCAAAGCTGGCTGTCTAGATCAAGCGTCTTTGCCTATGCCACCGGGAGCTCGGGCTTTGCGGCGTATGACCCATGCATCTGCGAGAATCTAGTCGTCGCTGAACCCAGTCTCCACGAACCCGGCCAACCGGTCAGCCCACACTTCAACATCACGAAATCATGCTTCCATCTTTGTATGGACATACCTTTCACACAAACCACATCCTTATTGAACATATCACTCCGAAGTACCGCATCCCTACCGCTGGAAGGCACCTCGTCCTTGCCTGTCTGAAGAACCTCAGGATTCCTGACTTCTAAGGTTGCGTCGGTGCCGCTGGCTCGGCGGAGGTCATCATGCCGCCGCGCGTGCACTGCACGTGCAGCTTGCCGGACAGTCTAGCATGGGCATCTTCTGGCAGCGCGCCGGACTCCTTGCTGGACTTCTCATATTTCCCGGAATCGTTATGGGAGTCACGGCTCCCATCTGGGTGGTTGTCAAAATTATGGTCCCTTTTTGGGTCCTTATTATAATACGGCACCTGTTATTTAGGGTACCCCACTTGGAGGTTCATGGGTAGTTATAAGTAGGGTTATAAGTAGGGTAACTATAGTTATAACCCCTATTAGGGGACTTATAACCCCACTTATAACTACCCATGAACCCTACACCCTAAACCCTAAACCCTAAACCCTTAAAGGAACCCTATGACCCCACTTACAACTACCTCCAAGCGAAAGGGACCCTAATTTTGACAACCACCCATCTGTCAGGATGGGGGCTCGGGCTTCGAGGGTGGGAACATGCAGAAACTCCAAGCTGCAAGTTCATGGCGGTTTAGGGTTTAGGGTTTAGGGTTTAGGGTTTAGGATTTAGGGTTCATGGCTTGACTTTCCACCATTCCGCTACTGCATGCTGGTGCCACAAACAAGTGAGACTGGTCCCTACGACTATGTGACTACCACAACGACGACGACCACGATAACGAGTACTACTGAGACTACTGCTGCTTCTGCTGCTGCGCTGCTACGACCACGACATGACCATGACACGACCACCAGCGTCACCAGCAGCAGCGTGGCAGCTGCCAAACGACTAACACCCACTTCCACTACGACAACCATATCACGCAATGCCTGCTGCAGGGACAAAGACCAAGCTGACTCTCCGAAGCTTGCGACGGTTGCGGCTTCACAGAGCACCATGCAGAAGCGAGCCGAGCAGCTTCCACTGCGCGAGGAATCAGCCGGGCGGGATCCCAGACATCCTTCGAGGGTTTGGAGGTAATAAACCTACACCGGGCCTAGAAAGCATTACACAGCACATAGCATTATGACGCAGTCTCGTCGAACTTGCTTACTTGCTTTGGATGGGGAGCATATGGGTTCTATGACTATTCGAATTGAGAATGGAACCCTGACCCGTAGATGCATGCGTTGCGGCCTACGTGCTTACGATCCCGGGTTGTGTCCCTTACAGAACCCTAGAAACGCTCACAACACACCCATAAGGAAACCGATCCTTCTAGAACCCTGAAAAATTTGTAAAACCATGAGAGGAACGCTTGTCTTCTGTGTTATTGCATGCTTGAGATTTTCTTGTGACATGCTGAAGGCTTGTGCAGCTGGGCTTCTCTAGACATTGAAAGTGTAGGATTTGGGGCAATGTAGGGGCCTCAATACTTAGAATACGGCTTTGGGGGGGTCCTTGTTATGATTATAGTATAATTAATATACCCCCAAAACCTATTCTTCTTATTAAGGTTAAGGCCACTATATTAGAGGTTCCTTCACAAACCTGTAAGAGCTCTACAGGGTTTCTATAAGCGGTTTAGGGTTTCGGGCTTAGCGCATACGGAGTCGCGATGAGCTTGATCGGTTCATGTGGAGCAGAAGTCTGTGCTATAGCAGCTACATGTCGTCGTGATATGATGGTCGTCGCTGCTAGTTGTAAGTTCGTAGCCCACCTGGTTTTTGCCCTTTGCTGATAGAACTTCGTAGTTGCTCGCTTCCAGATGGACTCTGGGGCGCGAGTCTACGCCCTAAACGATGAAGCTCTCATTACGTACATCGTCCGCACGTCGTCTTCACGGATCGAAGGTAAAGGGTCCCCTGTTCTTAAACCCACAGGATACCAGATGCTGCTGAAATCCGCTGAAACCATATGGCAACCCTTGGATCCCAAAGCTCCCCCCGAAGAGGCCCCCAAAAACTTCGAGCGAGGCTCCGCCAAGCCAATGTTCCGAAAGAGCTTCCCAGAGTTCAGATATGCCTGCTTGGAGGTTCATGGGTAGTTATAAGGGGGGTTATAAGTAGCGTAACTATCATTATAACCCCTATTAGGGGACTTATAACCCCACTTATAACCTCCCCATGAACCTCCAAGTGGCAGTGGTTCGGGTGTGAGGCTTTGGGGAGGGGCTCGACCGTCCTCTGCAAGAACAGTATTGGAATTGAAGGCTACAGGACTCACGCCATAAAAGGGTCTCCGGTTTCAAAAAAAAAAAAACAAAAACCAGGGCGCGGTTTAGGGTGTAGAGTTTAGGGTCTATCCTGCTCTCCAAGAGCCAGGCGACGACCTGCCCTGACTCTCGACAACAAGGTCTATTTGGACTCGGAGTAAATGGGGATGTGCTTCTAAACGACTGGTAATATTCTTCTCCGAAGCTTGCTCTGTTGGTCGCCGATAGATATCGCCGCATCTTGCACCGTACATACAGATACGCGACCATCCAAACGCAACTTTCTCATCCGTCTCCTCCCCTTCCTCTTCGCGAAGGAACCATTGCAGTGTTTGCTCCAGAGTGCTTGACACTCAACCCTAAACCCTAAACCCTAAACCCTAAACCCTAAACCCTAAACCCTAAACCCTAAACCCTAAACCCTCACCAACTTCTGGATCTTGCGCCCCCCGACGTTTCTCCCCACCAGGCCCTGGGTTCTTTGCTGCTCCGTGCCTTTGCCGACAGCTCCTTTGTCCTCTGTCTACCGAGACTAGGAAAACGTCTGGAACTTAAGATTTTGGAGCCTCATGTCAAGGTGTGCATGTGGCTATAAAGGTGTGCGTGTGGATGGGTGTTGGCCTGCCTAAGCGCTGCTGCTCGGGTCCGGTCCCATGGGTCATGCGCTGCAACCGAATCTGAAACAGCCGCCATGTGCATCGCTGCAGCCATGAGCAGACCCGGCATTGACAGCAGATCAGTGCGACAACGTCTTGTATAGATGAAAAAATGGAAGCCTTTCAACAAAGCCACTCTGGAGAATTCCGGATTCCTACTACCCTAGGCTCTGAGCCGTCGCAAAAGAAAGGGGAGAAAGAACCCACCCAGCTCCTTCGTCTTGGTCAAGGCTTCGCGGCCGCAGAGAAACAGCGCCGCAACCAAGGCGCCTCCGCTGGAGCCTGGGAGCATTCCGGGGCCTTCAAGGCCCTTCGAGGCTTTCAGGGCCGGAGACGTTTCGGATATCGGAATAACGTCGAAGTTCCGTTTGCGCCGTGGCCGCCGGTGCTGGCCATACCAAGCTATGCAAGGGTCAAGGGCCTACAGTAGGGTGTTGGCTTGCTGCAGGGTTGTCACGATCTCATCCACTGCCCTCTCACCAACACAAGCTGTGCTCACGGCAAACATGCTCCGCTTTGGTCTTTTGCTTGCCCTGGTGCAGGAACCACCCATCCCCGAACGGGCATGCAAAGTTGCACGATCACACTGCATAGCATGAACATAATGCTCCTTGCTGCTCATCATGCGTATGTCCTACGTATGTATGCACTTGTAGATATGTATGCATTCCTTGCAGTATCTCATCGCACCGTCTGTACTTGTCTGCCCATCAGTTTGTAGACGTTGATGTAGTTTATGTGCATGTCTTGAAACGGCCTTGGTGCAACGACAACCGCTTGATGTAGGGCTTGTAGTACTAGTCACTAGTCACTAGTCTCCAGACAGAAACAACTGCCCCTGATCCCGCACCGTGCACGGCCGCCACATCGCCGTGAAAGCGCTGGCAGGCAAGAAGGCCCTCGGCCACGCCGGCCTGGTAACACTTAAGCAGAGAAGACAGGGTGAACGGAAAGAGTCACAGAAACAAGCAGGGGTGGGCCTGACGGAGGGATGATGCAGACGTGATGCGCCACATGTTGCGGGTTACAGGCTTGCATCAAGCATGAGCCCCGACAGTGACTTTCAAACCTAGGTGCCCTCGTAAGTCTGGGTACCCAACCCAAGTGCCCATGGCATGCACCTTTCAAGCCCATGGCCCCTTGTGACACGATTCCAGGCCCCTGCTTCGGCCATGGACCTCGGAAACCAGAAGCAACACCCAGAAACCCCAAGAAACCCCCCGGAAGAAGCCCCTCCCTTACTTGGGTAGCCTGATACACGAAGAGAAGTGCCGAGGAGGAGAAGCTCAGCGCCAGAGGCCGCGAACCAGGCCGGAGTCGTATTGTCATGGCAGCAGTAGAATTAAGGGTCAAGGGTTCAAAGGGTAGAGGGGGCTCCTTTTAAGGGGCTCCCGTAAAGGGCTACCGCAAGGGGTCTGTTAGAAGGAGGTCGTGGGGTATTTCATCGATACTATAGTCAAAATAATTACATTGAGGAACCCTGAAGAATAAGATGTAGGGTTTAGGGTTTAGGGTTTAGGGTTTAGGGTTTAGGGATTTGTCTGCTACTTCTCTGACTTCTACAGTGGCGCTTGTTGTGATCTTATGCGACTGCGGTCATGATGATCACAGCGGAGAAGCTGGGGTCTCCGGTCACGCTGATAGCATCCCTTGCAGGGGCAAACCCTCGTAGAAACCCTCACAGTGTCACAGCAACCCTTACAGTAACCCTCTCCCTTTTCGTTACGGGTGTCAGCTGCTAGGTCAGAACAAGACATTCATGGACCACTGTCTCCAGGCTGTCGAAATCAACTTCGGCGGAGGGCCATGCTTGAGGCATCAAGGAGTTCCTAGCGATGCTTTTAGGCCTTCTAGGACGTGGAGGGCGTATCCGCAGGAAGCGCCAAGAAATCCAGAGACTTCGGAAAGACCACTGCCGAGAACCGAGACTTTCAGACACCACGAAGGGTGTCCGCCGAGCCCACTCCTCTGTTCCTCTAAGTGAATCCTTGTAAGGACGAGGGAGAGGTGTCTCTTTGGCCGAGGATTGAAGCGAAGTGCACAAGGAAGGGGCCTGAAGGATTGGAGCAGGGGGTCTTGGAGAAAAATGGTCGTAGAACAAAGAGACTTTTCTCATCAGAAATACTACTGAATAAGACCTAAAACACCCTCCTTGGGCCCCTGAGGACGACCGCTCGAGCGTATCGAAGTTGAACCTCGGCTGGTGAGTCACCAAGCTCCGCAGACTGGGAGTTGGCTCTAAAAAGATCTTAGGTCCTAGAAGGTCCCAGCTACCCTAAGGTTTATGGAGTTTATGGGTTTTTTTATTTCGGCCAAAGCCAAAAGCAGGCCTGAAGAGTGTCGCCAAGCAGCTGATAGAAATCGTTCAAGTGCTTGGCACCGTCATGCCCACCGACCACGAGCATACGATTCTTGTACCTTGCAGGCTGTCTGTGAACACCAACTCAGAAGCATTGCCACTGACATGAAAGCATGAGGCTCACCCAGATTGTCGGGAGGTCATCCCAGCATGGCAACACCCATCATGAAGAAGCTTCTTTAAGCCCCATCAAATCCTGAAACCTGGTGTGGAGTTTGGAGTGTGTGGAAGGAACACTGCACTCAGATCGTCTTCAACAAGAATCACGTAAACAGGCGTGATTCTACAACTCTGAACCACTCGACTTCACAGCTCCACACCTAGAGGGTCCCCTCTGACCGACTCGAACGCACGACTCACTGTTCCTGCTTTTCAACGGGGATCCCTTGTATTTGTGAGCTGCAGGAAATGAAGGAAAGCTAGCCTGGACCCGAAAAACATGGGGATCCTTTTGGTGGGTTTAGGGTTTAGGGATTCCTTACTCTCTGAACGTTTCCTGTCCAGGGCACAACCTCAGACCCAAAACCCGAAGCTATAAACCGGTCCAGGGCACGCCACGGCCGACGTCCTGTAGCGTGCCTTGGGCACGGATCCCTTGACAGGCACTATGGACCTGAGACGGGCGCAGAAGGGCTTCTCTCAGGTTCCTGTTGAGGTCGATCGCGTCGCCCATTCAGTAAAGACCCCCTAAAAATTATTAAAAATTAGACACAACGCCCAATGAGAAACAAACAACGCTTCGAAGCCAATCCTCCCGAGCCGAAACCGAGCCGAAATCATCCCTGCCCTTTAAGCCCTAATTTGCATTAGGGGGGTCCGGAGCAAGAGCAGGAGGAGCAAGAGCAGGAGCAAGAGCGAAGGCAAGAGAACCAGCAAGATCAAGAACCATGAGCAAAAGCAAGAGCAAGAGTCTTTGGCAAGACCAAAAGCAAGAGCAGGAGTAAGAGCAAGAGCAGCACCAAGAGCAAAAGCAAGAGCCGGAGTAAGAGCAAAAGCAAAAGCAAGAGCAGGAGCTGGACAGCTGGAGCAGGAGCAAGAGCAAGAAGAAGAGCAGGAGCAAGACCAAAAGCAAGAGACGCAGCAGGAGCCGAGGCAAAAGCCAGCGCGGGGGCAAGAGCCAGAACAGGAGCAAGAGCAAGATCCCTCAAAAGTGACAGTAGGGCTGAAAATTTTGTTCCGAGTTGTTATTGGGGGGGATTGGGGGGGCCGTCGCGGAAGGGGCTCCTCAGAGGTTAATCATAATTATATTATTCGACCGTAAGTCGAACATATTATAGTCTACTGAAACATTCTATAATGCACTAATAACGCACTATAGTATACTAACAAGATACCATGACATACAATAATATGTGTGCTCTGATCTGCTACATAGAATACGATCTGAAGGCTCCTGAAACCAACGTGAACAATGCTTCTTGAAGTTCTACGTTTGAGTCGCAGGGCTTGGAATAAAGGGCTCTCCCCAATCCCTAAACCCTAAACTCTGGGAAGTTGCGTCTTGACTCACCTCAAAAACCCGCCTTCAATCGAATTTTCACATCCTCACACACACCTTGGAATCAAATCAGCAACTGGGTCTCAGCGTTCCGTCTCCTTTCACCTCCCTTTAATGTCTCTACACGTCTCCTTCGTCTCCCGCGCCCCACCGCGAAAGATCTAAGGTAGGGGCCTTAATAATTAGAATCAGGGCTTTGAGGGTATATTGATACTGTATTTATAATAAGGAACCCCTAAAATAGTATAGGCCTTTATTAAGGCCTCTATACTATATCAAGCCGAAGACCTTCCAAAGCTGAGTGTTGAGAATTGCCGCAAGCCAGGATATTAGGCTTCGGGCCACTTCCGCTGCGGGAAGTTGTAGCGGTGAAAATCGCTCCTTGAATTGCTCTAAAAACGGGACAGAGACGACAGTGCTCATGTGGGGGTTTCCAAAAATACGGGACTAATATAGGACCCTGAATAGTAGGATCCTTATTATAAGGACCCCAAAATAAGGTACCCCTAATTTTCGGAAACTCCCATGTGGCTTGATGTTGTCAGGACGGCGAAGGAAACCTCATAATTGGATCCTACTCAGAGCAAGGGATCACAGGAGTCATGAGCCACCCCCAAGGACTTTCGCCAGAGTGCCAGGCTAGGGCCGGGCCTTCTGCCGACTCAGAGAAGAGAATGGTTCTTATTGCTTTATATGGGTGGTTGTCAACATTAGGGTCCCTCTTTGGGTCCTTGTTATAATACGGCACCTATTATTTAGGGTACCCCCAAAAGGGGCCATAATTTTGACAACTACCCATATATTTCTTGCTGCATATGTATAGCCCCCCAAAACCTGAAGCATGTGGGAGCTTCAGCGCCAAAGCCGGACTCTACTTGGAGGTTCATGGGTAGTTATAAGTGGGTTATAAGTCCCCTAATAGGGGTTATAATTATAGTTATCCTACTTATAACCCTACTTATAACTACCCGTGAACCTCCAAGTAGTCCGTAGGGGACCCCTCCCTGCAGGCCCTACCCGACCCGGACCCTGAGCTGGAGCCTCTCAACCCAACTAAGCCCCAAACCTGCCTCTACTTGGAGGTTCATGGGTACTTATAAGTGGGGTTATAGGGTTCCTTTAAAGGTTCTGTAGGGTTTAGGGTTCATGGGTAGTTTTAAGTGGGGTTATAAGTCCTCTAATATGGGTTATGATTATAGTTACCCTACTTTTTACCCTACTTTTTACTACCCATGAACCTCCAAGTAGCTTTAGGTTGAAGGGGACCGCTTTTCAACGTTAACCCCACCAAACCAACATCTGCCTCCGGGTAGCTTTGGGTTGAAAGCTGAAATGAAGGTTTGGTGCGTCGTGTTTCGGGTCCTACGAAGCCTTCAACAGCTCCCGTGCGCAGGCTCAATACCCGCATTGCAAATAAAGCGAACGCTGCACTCCAACACGGCATTGCTTCGTCCAGCCCGCAGTCCTGTAGTTCCCATCATAGCCCGCGAAAATGTACATGGAGCCGTCGTATTCGACGCCGGAGTGGCCTGGGCGTGAAGGGAACTGTTGAACAGCCGTCGTCTTTCGGTGAACAGCCGCCGTTGCACCTGTGGAGCCTGAGGCTCACGGAAGGGTGATGCAACACTTTGAGCTTTCATGCGGAAGCAACTTTCAGTGATCGACAGGCCTACACACACAAATAGTCCACACCACCCTTCCCAAAAAAGAGGGCCACGGGAACCTATGAAGAGAGCCAGAAGCTTCGGACTGTGGGGATCCGGCTGTGGCGCGGAGTTGGTGGGTTCCCCAGGGCCGGGTCCACCGTGCTCCACACCTGGCTCTGCCAACGCTCCTAACTTGAAGTCTTAGAAAGCCCCCTAGCTACTAAGCCACCCGCCCCCCCCCCCCCGAATGAATTTCACTGAATTCCACTGAAGCGGCTGCCCCTTTTTCTACACTTCTGCCGGTTTCTGGTGTCTGCCTCGTGCTCGGTATCGTACTGCCAGAAGTCGTTTACACGGTTGTTGCCGTCGTAGCCAGCGAAGATGTAGATTTTGTCGGCATAGGACCTCAATAGAAGCAAGCATCTGAGGTGTTCAACAGAGGTCCCCTCTTGTTGCCACTATGCCCCACAGGAATGTTGGAGTGTAGCAGGCCCCTCAACCACACGACCGCGGAAAGCCAAAAGCTACGAGACAAGCGCCGCTGCAAAATTTCCTTTTGGGCGCCCCGCACGACCACGTGCCGGTCACGCGCCGTCGGGCTACTCCCTGCACTGCTCGAGCGGTGGAGACTTTGGAGCGTTTAGGGACGGTGACTTCAGGGCTTCGGGTTTCCTTCGGGCTTTCCACTGCAGACGTAGGACTTCGGTGATAAATCCCTTTTGGGATTGGAGACTTGCGAAGGAGCAGGACCTCTGCAAGGCGAACCTCTCAAAAGATATGCCTGACACGTCTTCGGGCTGAAACTGAACGGCAATATCCACCGACTGACAACTAGTGTGTTGAGAAGAACCACAGCCTGTTGGTGCACGCATCGTGGAGACACCCTAGACCCCAAAACCCTGAGCCCGTCGGCCCACCTGCCGGGTGAATCTGCGACCACTTCGAAGCCTGCAAGCTCAGGGCTGTGATGTCATCTCAGAGATGCACAAGCCGTTTGCCATACCTCGTCGAAGCCTGCTTCGCAAAGAACGCTCACGCGCCACTGACAGAGCTGAACTTCAGGAGAATGCTTTTGGGGGCGAGGGCTTGGGAATGCGACAGCTCGGACGGCTCCTTGAAGCTGAACTTGTAGAAGTCGTTCACCCTGCTGCTGCCATCGTACCTCTTCATTGCAGGGTGACATCTCGCGGCAAAAAACCGTAAGATCGATGTGCTGTGCCATGAAGGACGCGGCGCGATGCATGCCGGTCTTGTGGCAACCGGCCCGTGCAGAGCACCCTCCAAAGATGTAGAGGCAATCGCCCACGACGATGCTCGCATGCAGCGATCGTTGCTTCGGCGGTTGACCTCGCTAAGAACCCGAGGGAAAGAGAGCTTGGAGGGTCTGTCATGGGGGGGTAGTAGGGAGTGCAAAAGCCCCGGCCTCGGCCTTCAGTCCGAGGAAAACCGGGTGAGGTGTCGCGCCAGTTTGGGGCAGTCGTGGCGACAGGGAAGGGGTTCAACTCCAGCTTCAAGTCCGACAAGGGGGACAGAATCAGCTCGCAGAATCGAGTTCGCGTTCACCAGAGGACACTACGAGCATTGATATGAGATCCGCAGGTGAACCTTTCGGGGTAACGATTTTTGGCTAGGCAAAGTCTGAACACTCGATGATGGAATGGTGGTTTGGGGTTCAGTGGTTTGGGAGAGTCGGTATGTTTCGGAAGGCTAAATTCCCCAGAGTCTCCCGGAACAGCCGAAGTTTGGAAGGCTCAGAATCCCTCTCCCCTCACATAAAAAAGCAGAAACACCGCAGAGCAAAACACGATACCGGGGCTCCAGCAGCCGCCAAACGGCTTGACGACGGACCATTGGTTGATGGCCGACTTGCTGCACTCCACATCATCCACCTCCGGAAGATCCACGTGTGCAGGCGACTGAACTTAGAGACTAATAGTGTTCAAGACGTAGCGCTGTGGAGATTTTGGCAGGTCGATCACAGCAAGCTCTCGGAATGTCCCGCTACAAGGCCTCAGCCACGCTAGACCAGACCAGACATACTAAGTCCATTTCGTAACCTGCACGGCTTCAACCCTTCACTAAGGCGGTGAGCTTCTGCAATACGGCAAAACTGCGCAGCACCTCCATCTCCGCCTCTCCGGTGGTACCTCAATGAGATTTGCCCGAGGCGAAACTGAAGGGAAGTGCAGCGTCGGAGAGCAGTTCGGCGTCCTCTCAAGTCTTACACCCTGATACATATCACGACCAGACGAAGCAGATAAACAAATCTGCATGTCCAGTCAAACAAGGCTACCGTGCAAACCGCAGCCCCTCCTCTGACACGAACCACGCGTAGCTAAATCATTTTAAAGCTTACACCCACGCCAGGGCCGTCTGGGCTTCCAACTGCGTTCCATCTTCAAAACGAATGGTAACCTTCTGCATGGACACAGTGTGTTTGCAGCTTGCCGGGGCTTCTAACTGACTCAACTTAGGGAAGGTCTGGCGGCGGCATTGAGCCGGCTTTAGGGTTTTTTGGTTTTGGGTGTAAGGTTTACGGTTTGGGGTGGATGCGCTTCGTGGATCGCGGTGACTGGAACCGAGTTGAAGCCTCGCTTAGTCATAGCTTTGCAAACTTCAAACCTGTCAGGTCGGATCCTACATGCCAGAACCTTGAAAACAACGTGCCCTGAGTTTAAGAAACCCATTACCCATTCGTGACAGCACCGAGTCTCGGACTAGATGCCACGCGGCAAAGTGCAAGCCAATGGCCCCTACCCTAGAGACCAGACATGAACCCCTCTTCGGGAATCTGCTTCTTGGATGCTTTGTCGCAGCTGTGTCTTGACATTCTGTCGAGGATGTGAAATCATGGCTCAGCCCCGAAGCTACAACCAGAGCTCTTGCTCATTACCGCTGATACAGCCAAAAAGGCGGACGGTATAAATCACGCGCTTCATGACATGATGACGTGAGGTGGACTTATTTTGCTCGTCCATCAGCCTCTATTGAGAAATCTGATCGCCGCGGCTTGAAAAAGGGGACTCTGCTCTGCGGCTCTCCGATGGTAGGGCTCTGCATTTCAGTACGAACTGTCCTTGGGTTTTCCAAACCTTCACCTTGATGCATCCTGGTTGGAGCTTGTTGAGGCTGGTGACGTTGGAATTCGGAGAAGCAGCATGGCTGGCAGAAGGGCCATGGAGTTATGCAGTCTTTCAGCTCTTGTGACAAGTCTGGTGGCTAGCGGAGTGATGCTGAGCTGGTTGGGGTTTATGCACCGCGGTCCATCAAGTTCTGGAAGGAAAAGCAAAATTGTTCTTCACATCTTTCTACCAAACGGAGCACCCCGTGGCCAACGAAAGCATGGACGAATCCGCCCGGCCAACTGGCAGTCTTGTCCGAGGAAGTGAGGCTTGTCTCATGGCGACGAGTTGAAAGTGACTCTGAATCTCCCCCGCGCCCATCATCATGGAGTCACTCGCAGCCCCATTTCGACGTCCAGCTTGTTCGAAACCGCACAACAGCTATCGAACCAGCCGCACACCGATTCGGTTTGTTGCTGCAACCACTGCTTGCACCTAAACACTGTGTAGTCCACTGGATCTGCCGGTATCTCGGTCCGGAATGTTTTCTCAGCACTTGAGCCAAATGTGCAATGCAGTCAATTACTGCATAGGTCTCAGCAATGGTCAGATAGTGACAATGCTCTCTAACACTAAATAGTAATTGCTCATCAAAGATGATGCAGGAAGAGCACCGCAATCAACTCGTCCCACTTTTTCACACGGTCGCACTAGTTCACCACACAAGAGACAAACGAAGCAACCTGGACTGTACAAGTATTAACCAGAATGCGTTGCTACCGCTACCTTGAAAGTGTGACGTCTGAAGTCTCCAAGGAAAGGAACTGACTGCCCCAACCCCTGGAACGCTTGGGCTTCATGCCTGCAGTGCGCCAGCATACATCCACAGGAACAAAGGCTCACGGAGCATGCTCACTCCCCCAAATGGCGAGCCCATTTCACATTGCATGCCCTCAGCCCTTTTATCCACAGTTCAGGGGTCTCCCCATTTGCAACAACGGCAAAGTGATCTGTATAGCACCTCTTCACGCGGATCCAAACACTTGCATGCCTCGCTGGCGTGCACATAGTGCCCGGATTTTGTAAAGCATACAATCATCTCCTTCCCTTGTTCGTTCTTCCTAGCTGGAAGTCCTGGCCTTTTGAAGCAGAACTTACAGAGACTGCGCTGGATAGGTGAACTAGCAAACTGCATCCCCCGGCATGTTGTACCACTATGCAAGCAAGATCCATTCGTAGTCAAGAACACAAACGGTTGTATGTCATCGCCACGGCTGCTCAGCAAAACACTCTGCTTCAGACCCCAAGGCCTAGCAAACCGGTCCAAGGGCAAGTGTCCCTCTACAGTCCCTGAATTGCCTGTGAGGGCCACATCATGCCGACCGAACCGATCCCTTATCCCACCGTGAGCAGCTACAGGCTCCCCTTCACCCTCAAACCCTTCAGTCTGCGCGGTTGGAACCATTCCACTCGTCCTATTCCTTCGCTGTCTTAAAGTCCCTTCCGCCTCAGAGCCTAAACTGACACGTAAGACCTGTTGTCTCGGAGCAGCGGCACTTGTATCACCTGCATCCACCACAGATTCACGGGAGACTAAACCACTAGAACCTTTATGGGTGGGGACTGCTGCACTGGACGTTGCCCTTTCGGAATTCCCTGGGACTAAACCACTAGAACCTGCAGGGGTGGAGTCTGCTGCACTGGACATTGTACTCTGAGGGTTCTTTGGGACTAAACCTCTAGAACCACTAGGGATGGAGGCTGCAGCACTGGACACTGCACTCTGAGGGTTCTCTGGGACTAAACCTCTAGAACCACTAGGGATGGAGGCTGCAGCACTGGACATTGCACTTTGGGAGTTCTCTGGGACTAAACCACTAGAACCACTAGGGGAAGAGGCTGCTGCATCTTCAGGTCGAACATAAAGACTTGGCTCCCCTACGCCCTTTCCCTTTCTACTCGGTCTTCCTGTCCTCAGTACTCCCAGTTCACTGGCCCTTTTCTGCACATCACACACATCCTTAACACTCCAGCTAGCCTCAGCAATGCTACCATTAACAGTTATGTTGATGACTGGGGACAGCTGGTTGGTTCCTTGTTGCTCACCTCCCGACAACGTGGTATTCTCAAGATCCTGAGGCCTCTTCACATCTTCACAAGTGTTCTCCCCGCTCGCCGCGAAATGCTTGTTCCCAAGTTTCAAAGGAATCCACAGGCAGACAGCACCAAGACCCATACTCAGTATTACCACAAGACCAAGTACAAACCACAGCTCCCAGGAATTCTCTTCACTCGCATTTGCAGCCTTCGAAGCACAAGCAGACCTAACAGAAGCCACAGCACTCATTACACCCAAGCTACGGCCACTACCATGCGACACCCCCGAGCCGCGGCTGCTGCCACTCGGCCCTCTCGGCATCCCGGAGTCCGTAGTCCATTCGCCAATAGAAGAATGATCACTTTGATCACCTTCCAAGTCTGCCTCATCATCAACATAAATGAACCTCTGACCTTGGACAAAGGCCCGACCTAGTCCATCGTCATGAACTCGGTTTAAGACTAAATCATCAGGAGGCATAGGCACAGTAGGAGCTCGGGCAGGATATACGAACTCAGCATCAGTCGCTTCCGCAGGCATCACACCATACTCCCGACGATGCTCAGGACCCTGCATATAAATCTCGCTGGCATCTGCAACCCCTGGTTCCTCAAGAAACAGAAGCTCTGGAGACCCCATCCTGTCCACGGCGCCTATCAACGGCCTAAGATTGTCAACCCTATTGCTTGAGCTACTCCCTTCCCCTAACAGCAAAGGATCAGCTTCCCTCAACCCATACATACGCTCGTTCAGCTCCAACAGCCACAGCCTATGGCAGGACCTTCAGAGTGCACTGAAACCAGCTCCCCCGGTCCCCGCATATCCTCTGCATCATCCGTCGCTGTCTGAACCAACTGTGACTGTGTCAATGTCTCAGGCGGCGGGGTTCTAGGACCTCTGGAAACTGGACTACTTCTGCAACATCTTATCAGACCTCGGGCACAAGAGACCAGCCATATTCCACATCCGAAACCCAGGCCCATAACAAACCCAAAAACAAATGTAGATCCTATTGAGTCCTCAGACCTGACACTCCAAGCCTGGGCGCCTGAGACCTGTGCCAGCAACAACAACGCCAATAGCATATGCGCCAAGCCTGATGGCTTCACATTCATAGCTGCAACACTTGCTCTCGGTGCCTCGTCTGACTCACAAATGTATGGGTTCATAAGGTCACACAGCTTAATCAGATCCTCAAGCCTTGCTGGACCGACCGGCTTTGTTCCCAGATCAGCAGGCATGTAGACTCCATCTAAATGAGCCAGGGACCATATCTCATCAACCAGGTCTTGTCTGATAATGGCACCCCGGAGTCTAAGATGACGGGTCCTCCAGGATCCAGCCTCCAAAGTGCACAGCTGAACTGCTGCTGAGTTATCACAGTACAACCTCCCAGTTATATCCTGCTCCTCAACATCCATAAGCGCAGCCACTGTTGGACGTAATGCTTTGCCCATAAGGTGACCTTCTGCCAAGGAATACAGCTCACTCTCTGCAGTGTGTGCAGCAATCAGCGTCTGCCTTGCAGCAGACCACATAACCAGAGATCCTCCCCAAAACAGCTGCACAGAACCAAAGCTCCTGCACTGCTCATCAGCTGCAAATGATGCATCTGTGTACACTTCTAGAGTTAGTGGAGTTTGCTGATGACGAAGCTGATTCCACCGACCACATCCTCCGACAGCTGTCTTATAGTGCAAACTCACACCCGATGAAGACCTGAGATACCTCACCAAATGCTCTGCTCTGGCAACTGCTTCAGCTGGACTCGAAGCAATCTTCTGAGCAGCCATGCTCACCCCGTATGCAAGATCCGGTCTAGTTCTCCCTGACAGCCACAACAACTGCCCAATCAGAGCCTGAGCCCTCTTCGTGAGCAACTGTCGCTCCGTATCAGTCTCAGGCTCCTCCCAAGAGTACACCTTAACTGCTGGAGTTTTCTCCTCACCTGGGACATCCTCTGCTTGCTGCTCCAGCAGGTCCTTGACGTAGCTTTCCTGATGCAAGCGGATCCCCTGGGACGTCTTTTCCAGCTCAAACCCTGCGTACTTAAGGTAGTCGCCTGGCTCACACAGCCACTCCGGAGGAGATAGCTCCCAGACCTTTTGAAGACCCGCTATCAAAGCATCAGCAATCACCCTGGGCGCTCCAACCAAAATGTCATCAACGTACAAGGCCATTACACCCACTTTCTTTCCAGGAATAGATGAGCTCTGATCACCTGCACTCGCGAAGTTGTCCTTTCCAGGATGCATTACCACTTGCCACAAATTCACGTCTTCTGGCATCTTGACCAACCTCAACAGACCACCCTCACACGGGATCTTCATATCCATCAAAACTCGATCTCTATGATCACTCCACGATTTAGGAGCTGATGCCAGCCCGTATAGAGCCTTTTTTACGAGCCAGTACCGATACTGGGTTATTCCTGTATCTCGTAAGATGGATGGTACTTTGACTATGGTAATGGGTGGTTTCCCATCTCGGCGACTCTCAAGCAACGGAGCCTGAAGGAAGGCAGTGCGAACGTCAACAGTCCCAATGCACCAGTTGCTTTCCATAGCCACCCGTCTTATAACCATCCTCAGAGCTTCAGACCCAGCACCAGAGGCATACAAATCTGCACGCCGCACCTCTGTCCCTCCAGAGCAATAATTACCACACCCAACAACTCGTGCCTTGCGACGGCCGCTCGACTTGTGCACATAGACACCCTTGGCAGGAATAAGCTCAATAGCAGTGTCCTCCCGTTTCATCAGATCCCAGTATTGATCATCCGATATCTCTTCCACCGCCTGAGTCTTCTGGACAAGTGAGATGTACTCTTCAAGGAGGGCAGGTTTCCACTTACCTGGCTCCCGCCTCACCTGGTCTTGTCCTACAATCTTAGACTGAAGGGGTGGAGGATCCTCAACACCATCCTCCGGGGAACTGCGCTGCTCAAGCTGTCCATCATCTTCTGACCTGTGAGTCTCAAGATCCTCGACAACCGTCAAGCTTCTCAGCACAACGGAGTTTGCAGAGTCCAATAAGTGATTCTCCACCTCATGGAGTTCCCTTCCTTCATGCTCTAATGCTTTTAACATCTCCCAGTAAACTCCATCACAACCAACATCCACCTGGTTGTCTACTTCCTCTGCTGTCTGAAGGATATTTTGAACCTCACGGTGCTGTCGCGCAATGTAATCAAGAGAATCCGACACATTTGCAATAATCGGCCAACTGACCTGATGCAACTCAAATCTTTCGGTATCTTCAAGACTTGCCGATATACAGGGCTTCAGACCACGAAGCTGCTGTGGGACCCTAAAACCCTCAAAGTACTCGGGCTCCCCCTCTTCCAGGTCATCGTCAAAAACTTCAGTCCCAGCTCTAAGCTCACCGCCCTCATCAAGCACCTTCTTAAGTCTCCAAATTTCCAATGACACACACTTCCATGCAACTGATCTAGGACAGCAGCTTGGAAACTCTTCGCACACCGTAGTCTTCCTTGGTCGACCAACATCAAGTTCCACTCCTTTGCTATCCAAAAGATTTCTACTGTATCCCATCTGCAAACTGCTCAGACTAGACAGCTGTGGAACCCCTTCTGACTGCAGCTCAACGCTCACAAACTGCGATCCCACACCTAGGCCTTCACCATGGTCAACACCACATGTCTCCTGCACACCTGCTTGCGGCACCTGATTGCAACTGGAACTAGAGACCTCCTGCACACCTGCTTGCGGCACCTGATTGCACACGGAACTAGCGACCTCCTGCACACCTGCTCGCGGCACCTGATTGCAAAGGGAACTAGAGACCTCCTGCACACCTGCTTGCGGCACCTGATTGCAAACGGAACTAGCGACCTCCTGCACACCTGCTTGCGGCACCTGATTGCAAAGGGAACTAGAGACCTCCTGCATCGGCAAGAACTCCACTGCTTCTTGAGTTGAACTTTGCAAATTTTTTAAGCTTTTCAAACTACAAGTATCCCCCCCCCCCCGTTGCCAGGCATGGGATCGGGCACACGAAGTTTGAAAGATGACGACCCTGTCCAAGCCTGTTTAGACGCTTTGCCTCGGCCTCCACGCCACATGTGAGTCGTGCGAACAGGCTCTCCTATAGGGTACTGCTGCACACAGTAGCGAACATCACCAATGCATGCAACATCAACAGGCAACCATTCCCTGTGCGACGGCGCAAACATTTGCCTTCTAGGAACTGGGTGGTATCGGGTCAACACTTGGGCCTTACCGCTATAACCCCAAAACTCATCCTTCGTTGCGGGCAAAAGCGTGAATCCTGTTTTCCACAGCCACTGCCTGTCACCTTCCCCTAGTTTATGCAAGCTACGTGGAGTATATCCCACTAGCAGCAACTGCTGACCCTGAGCAGCAACGGACTCATGCCACAAGTTCGGGCGAAACCT